GCTAAAAGAATTGTAACATTAAGGTTCATCTTCAAACTTCTTTATTATTGCAACAACTCACTTGAATCAAACCTAAAACTTTTTTTTTTATAATGTTGGCCAACTTCTGAAAATCCCATGTACAAGAAACAATTCATCCTTTTACCACAACAATTTCAATCTCATCACGTCAGATTAGTCCCTTCCAACTGCCGTAAAACAAAAGCAATTTCTCAAATGACCCGTACTAATGTGTCGTAAAATTTTTCGAATTAAAATATCGTAATAAGCATATACTATTTTTTTAGGATGGATGGAAGATTATATTGATGACAACTGAAGACTAATTTTGAAGAACATTATGTTTCTGTGGTCATAATCAACTAGTCAATTGCATAGTACTAAAGAATTCAATAACTAGCTTAATTTTCAGACTGAATTATATGGTTTGCACTGCTTGCATTGTGCTACCCTGATTGATTTAAAAATATATAATTAATTAAATTAGAAGAGGGGTGGAGATCGAGCTGTCTGTCTAACATACTACACTCAAATCGCCTGGAAATATCATTCCAAACTTTGACAAATGACATTTTGGGAGTGAAGTGATCGAGGGGGAAAATTGATTACTACTTACATTTTATTTTACTAGATCACTCCTTTAAATTAAAACAACACAGTAAAAGTGAACTATTATTAAAATGAAACTGAGAAAATAAGATATTCTGTCCAATAATTTATGTTAATTTTTGAGATTGTCCACCTAATTGATACAAGATTTCAAAAGGGGAGTTGTGTTTTGATGTCTTTTTATGGAGATCTATATTATTTGCCGACCTAATTGTTCGTTACTCAGTTCTAGAAATGCAGCTTAACTTCCTTTCCTACTTTTGCTAAAAATATCATTTGATTGATGGTTTTGACCTTACTGAATTGAGAAAGGAAATGCAACCTCTCCTTAACTGATCAATATTTTTTTTCGTATTGCGCACGGTGTCCTAAATGCATTGCACTCAGACTAATGCTCATCGAGCCGGGTCGATCTCCTTTCGGAGGGAAAGCTCTCCCAACATTACTTTTTCCATTTACGAGACTCGAACTCGAGACTTCACTTAAAGAAACCAAAGCATCTTACTACTTTGGCCAAGCAAGTGTTAACCAATCACAAAACTAATTAGCTGATCATTTGATTGCGAAAGACAGACGTTCATGAGGAAATTAACCAATCACTAAAACTAATGAGCTAATGTGTCAACATTCTATTTAGCCATACAGAACAAAGGTAAATAGAGTTGGTATGCTTCTTACTGTCTTTTGATGATAATAGAATATAGCTGTACATGTGCACTTAAAAGCACAGACATTGAATGACCAACAACCCATACATTCTTTTAACTACGGTATAAAATTTTGTAATGTTTGACTCTCCAAAAACCACCCAATCTCTTTTCACCTTACCCCTTTGACCAAGGTTGTGCTGTTGTATAGTACTTTTATTTAAAAGTTTCCATCGACATGTCAATTTTTGGAATATAATAATGCATGCACACAATAACACCTCCTCAAACATAAATATACATAGCACTATTTTATTTAGAGGTGAAAAAAAAAATTATAAAAGAGGATAGTCACTTCAATTTAATGAGCTAAAAACTCTAAACAGTTACCGGTACAATTATTATTTTATTTTGAGATGTGAAGAATATAACACTTTGCGCGACGATCAATGATCATCATCAAACTAAAATACGTCGCTAGGGATTAATTTCAAGAGCTAAAGTGTTATAGGGTTAACACCATTAACATATAATGATACACATATACATTGATCCTTTTATGCAAATTAACAAAAATCTTGTCCATTTCCACGAGATATAGTGTTCAAAGTTCTATACACAAACAAAGATCGCTGGTAGTGATTCACGGACGGAATACCAGGGAAAAACAAACAACAAAAGTAAAAAGAGAGAAAAAGAAAACAATATATGGTTTTTTGACAGTAGAAATGACAGGGAGAAAGGGGGGATGAGTCCAACACACTTTCCCAATCCCGTTGAAGAAGGGTATAGAGAGATCGAGCTAGGAGTCAAAAGTACTACTACTGCTAAACTAGTAAGTACAGCACTAGACCACAGTGTGTTTGAAAGATGGACAGTATTGGGATCCATTCATATCGACGATGGAAAAAATCAAAAACTATATATATAAATAACAGGCTAAGGCTATATATACACATATACATGTAGGTAGCTAGGTTACAAAATTCTGTAATAGTAGTACTACAACTAGCTAGGTACTTACTGATTTTATGCGGTTTTAACTCTAGTAGCTCCTCTGGGTCACAATATATTTAAACATACTATATAGGATTATCCTAGGGTGGTAAAACAGTGAAGAAATGTTGCACCAAATGGTAAAGAGAAGAAGTCCCCATATATGTGTGTTTATATATTCACATATAATACGTTGACACTTCGAACAAAAGTTGTACCTATTTTTTTTTTGAAAAGAAGTTGACAAGAGAGAGAAACAAGAGAGAGAGAGAGAGAGAGTGGGGAGTGGTGGTGTCTAACCCTAGATGGCCCATTCCTCGAAAAGAGAGTAATAAATGCAAAAGAAAAGGGCAGAAGGGTTCAGGACATTTTTGGCAGAACAGAAAAGATGGACGTGAGAGAGAGAGAGAGAGAGAGAGAAGTAAATCATTTTGTAATCGATTGCTTTATGATTGATGAGAATTGGCTGGATGTGAGAGAAAGAGTAAGTCCTTTTCTTTTTCTTTTTTTTTTTTATTTATTTGCAAAAAGAGGGAAGATGTCTCAGTCTCTTTACTCAACACACACACACACACACTGAAGAAAGAAGGAAATACTACAACAACAATAATTATAAATACTAATAAATAAAGGCCTTTTTGTTAAAGGCTTTTTTTTTTCTTCCCTACCCACCTTTAAATTACTACTACCTTTTTTTTTCCTCCTTTTTTCTATCTTTCTTTCTGAGTTAGTAGTAGAGTAGTAGCAGCAGTACACAAAAGCCAAGAGAGAAAGAGAGAATGAGAGAGGTTTTTTCTCTTTTCTCTTTCTAAATCACAAGGTCATGATGGCACTATGATGAGAGAATAGAATTGTGGTTTCTCTGCAGCTTGTATTTATTGACAATACACTGCCCTAGGTGCCTGCTTGACACGGTCATGAGTCTTGAAGGCAACCCCAAGTACTCCTCTCTCTCTATTCTTTTCTCTCTCCATGCATTCATTCATTCATTCATTCATGCATGCATGCATGCATATATGTACTCTCCCCCCATTTATGCTTTCCATTTCCTTTTCTTTTCCACCCTTTTTTCTAAGTAAGGATATTCCATACACAACTAATTAACTATATGTAATCCTCTTCATATTGTGATATAAAAGTTTTTGTTTGTGACCACCTACCTCATCGCAGTTAATGCTTACATAGTATGGGGAAAGATTGTACTTTAGACTTCTTATTTCTTTAGTGATATAACATTATATAAAAATATTCCACTTTCCCTGGCCAAAAGTGAATCGTCACAATATATAATCTTCACAATTGATTCTTGAAAAATCGTACTCAAACAACACGAGTAATATACGGGTCGTTGCATCAATAATACGGTAATGGTATTTATATATAAAAGTTCACTTGGATTGGGTTACGGTGTATTAAAGTAATAATTTTTGAATGACATAGGAAGCCACACACTAATAATTAATCACTTTTGAAATTTAGGGGAAAACAACGTTGGTTCTTATCTTGTTCTATTTAAATTTCTAATGATATATATAAGCATAATAGAAACACATGTATATATATATATATATATATATATATATATGTCTACAAATTCTCACATATGGGATGTATGAATGATCTTTCACATCATGGGTTGAGAGGTGTTTATATTTGAGCGAAGAAGAGAGGGGGGTGGGGGAGAAGGGCTGACACTGTCCTACAAACAAAGTATTTTGCTGACCCAATTTGTCTACCCGCATTTAAAGCGCGCCTTTGTGGTCTAGTGGTAGTAGCCAAGGTTAAAAATAAATGTCAATGTGTGCCAATTGGCTATGCATTGTCACCATTGTGCTTACCATATTTTCTTCACCATTTTTGTTCCTTTTTTTTCAATTTTTTTCCCCCTCTCTATTTTGTAAGTTTCTTAAATAAAAGTGGACCCAAATATTATCAAATTGGGGATTTCTAAATAGTGTGTGTATATATATATCAGTGGGGTCTCTGTCACCTCTTTCTTCATGTCACTTTGTAGGGGAGGATGTCAATGCAAACATCCTTTAAGATTTGGGTATAAAATTTCTACATGAAATGACACTTTTAGGTCTTCTCTCTTTCTCATAGACACACACACTCTCTCCTTTTCTTTTTTTTCTTTTTGGTACATGGTTGTTAGGAAGAGATAGGTGAAATTCTTGTTTAGCTGGTTTGTAACTTTTCAAACATTGACCTCTAATTAAGTTGCCTTTAGCTGGTTTGGTATCTGTTGTTTTTTCCCCTTTTCTTTACAGAAACTACGAGATTATGTTTAGATGTGTATATATTATTATACTCAGATCAATAATTTTTTATTTATTTATTTGTTATCAATATATATATATATATATTAGGTTTTCCTGGATTAGCCATTACATTTTTTAAGCTACTTATAAGCGCATTAATATGGTACTTCTGTAGACAAGTGTTTGTGATTCCAATAATAGGCCTAACATTTGTTATCAGAAATACAAGAGCAGATAGCTGACTTCCACTAAAATTCCCATGTGAAGTTTACTCTGAATTTGGAAAGGCCACAAAACCAGATTTTGGGATTTAGTAATGGGCCGAATAAAATTTGTCAGACCCAAGTTGCAAGCATTTCCTTAGGCCACGGATGAACACGTGGGCCTAAAGGAATGTCCAGAAGCCTTTCCATAAAGATTATTGGTGAAAGATTAAAATTAATAAGAATAAGAGAAAACCCGCCGCCAAAAGCCCAACCCTTTTCACCCTCCATATAATATATAATAATAAATAGAAAATCCCTACCTCCCGGAGGGAATTGCTTCCCTGCTTCCGCCATTGGGAAATTCAGGTAATCTTTTCCAGCTTCTGATTGTTTCGTATGCTCTCATGGGTTATATATTGTGTTTGTATATCTTTTTTCCTTTTCTTATTCGTGCCTTTTTATTAGCCAGTTTTTGTGTTGTGTTCCCTCATGATTACTTAGAATTTGCTTTAAAGGTTTCATTTTTAGTTTCAGAATTCTTCTAATCGCCGTAGTTTATGCTGAAAAAGAAAAAGTGTTTGAGTTTTACGTGGTTGTGGGTACACGGTTTAACTTCCTTTTTTTTTTTGTGTGTTCGATATGAATTATTGGATTTATTGGTTACTGTTCTGTTTCCTTCCTCTTAATTTTTTTGGTTAGGATCTTGTGCTTGTTAATTTTTGCTCCGTTTCTGTTTCCTTTTCTTGTTTTGGATTGATTTTGGAAAATTCATTTTCAAGGTTTGATTTGGTGCTCATAGTATGTCATATGATTACTACTGGAATTCTGGTTAGTTTTTAATTGAGCCCCTCTGTTGACAGGTATGGCTCAAGCAGCGGGAATATTTACTGTTAATCAGACTATAGGAAGTGTTTTGTGCTGCAAATGTGGGATTTTGATGCAGCCTAATCCCGCTAATATGTGCGCAAAGTGCTTACGCAATGTGGTGGATATAACTGCAGGGTTGCAGAAGCATGTGGTTCTTGTGCACTGTCCTGAATGTGATAGCTATCTGCAGCCTCCTAGAACTTGGTTGAAGTTACAGTTGGAGTCGAAGGAGCTACTTACATTCTGTGTGAAGAGGTTGAAGAATCTGAACGAAGTCCGGCTTGTACACGCTGAGTTCATATGGACCGAACCTCACTCCAAAAGGATTAAAGTTAAGTTGACTGTTCAGCAGGAGGTTCTTAGGACCATTCTTGAGCAGCCATACACTGTGGAGTATGTTGTGCATGAACAAATGTGTGATTCTTGCACTAGGGTTCAGGCTAACCCTGATCAGTGGGTAGCTTCTGTGCAGCTAAGGCAGCATGTTTCTCACAGAAGAACCTTTTTCCACTTGGAGCAGCTCATTCTCAAGCATGATGCTTCTGTTCATTGCATTAGAATCAGACAGGTGGATCAGGGAATAGACTTCTTCTTTTCTAACAGAAGCCATGCTGTGAAGTTTGTGGAATTTTTGGCTAAAGTTGTGCCCGTTAGGCATCGAAATGACAAGCAACTCGTGTCCCATGATACCAAAAGCAACAATTATAATTATAAGTATACTTTGTCTGTTGAAATTTGCCCTATTTGTCGTGAAGATCTCATCTGTCTTCCTCCAAAGGTTGCTGTTAGGTTGGGTAATCTCGGGCCGCTTGTCATATGCACCAAAATTAGCAACAACGTTGCCTTAATGGACCCTTTTACTTTGAGGCACTGCTTTTTGGATGCTGATCAATACTGGAGGTCACCTTTCAAATCTCTGCTTTCGAGTAGGCAGCTTGTGGAATATGTGGTGCTTGATGTGGAGCCTATTTCTTCTGAAGTTATTGTTGGCGGATCAAGGTATCTCTTAGCAGATGCACAGGTTGCTCGAGTGTCAGATTTTGGGAAAAACGATACAATTTTCAACGTGAGAACTCATCTAGGCCGTGTTCTGAAACCAGGGGATAATGCTTTTGGTTACGATTTGTTTGGTGCCAACAGCAATGATGTTGAGCTTGACAAATACAAAGGGTTTGTTCTCCCTGATGTGGTATTGATGAGAAAGAGATACGAGGAGCAGCTGCAGAAAAGACGAGGAGACATAGAGTGGCCTGATTTGGCCAAATTGAAATTACATGAGAATGAGGATTACAAGCCATCTGATGATGAGCTTGAGATTGACCAGATGCTTGATGATCTTATTATAGACGATGAGGACGATGACATGACTGAGTGAATAAATTTTCCTCTGGTAGTTGGGAATTTTATATGTACAGTAGAGTGTTATGTTATTTCAGATCATCCATTTCCCCCCTTTATAGTTTGCTGGAGTTTGATTACATTTTAAAGCCCGGGTTTAAACTTTAAACACACAGTTTTGTTTGTGCTTTGATTCTCCTACTGGTAATGTACTAATGCAAAAATGAAACTGTTTTATATAGGTTTTTCAAGAATGCGAAAATGAAACCGTGATTATGGAACAGAGATTTTAGCAATATTTTCACAAGGAACAATAAGTACCAGTAAATCAATGATCCACATCCTCAATCAAATAGGGAGGGAATCAGTACCTGCGCAATCTAGTGGTGACCTCTTACCGACGTTCCCTCTCATATCATTTCCTGGAATTGATGCTAAATGCCCTAGGATTCTGTAGGATAAAAGAAACAAAATTCCTGTTGTATTCATCTAAAGATTCATCAGACTTGCAAAAACTGAGGCTAGCTAGCCTATGATAACCAAGACAAAAATTTCACGGAACAAGGGGAAGTGGGAAAACAACCTTAGAAGACTAATGCAGCTTTTATCAATTAATTATTACACCTTGAGGATGAATTTGGAATGCATAAAATGGATATGAAAGCTAAATTTCTGAGTTTTGAGAGCATTAGTGTAAAATGAAACTGTTTTACATAGACCTTTATGTTTTTGTCGTATTTTGAACTTGATCAGTTGAACAGCAATGGAACCATAGTCACGGTTTCCTTTTTTGCACTCTTGAAATGTAAAACAGTTTCATTTTTGCATTCTAGAAAAAACATAAATAAGGATGCATTTTTGTACTCTAGAGGGAAAAAAAGTATAAAGAAGGTACTATTATGTAAAACAGGACAAAAAGTCCAAAGGCAATGAGTGAGCCACGTTTATGAGTCATCCCCCCTCGTGGTTATCAAGAAGATTCCAACACTCCAATCTGGGAATTAACTGAAAAAAAATGGCTGATGAGGCCCCAATTCGATTTGGGATTGTTGGATGTGCTGAAATAGCCAGAAAACTGGCCAGGGCCATAACTTTAGCTTCCAGTTGTACTGTCCACGCCATAGCAAGCCGTTCGATTGAAAAGGCAGAGCAATTTGCAGGGAAGACCAATTTGGCGGAGACAGCCGTGAAGGTCTACGGAAGCTACGATGAATTGCTGGATGACCCTGATGTTGATGCTGTGTACATGCCATTACCCACGAGTCTTCATTTGAAATGGGCTGTCTTGGCTGCTGAAAAGAAGAAGCATTTGTTACTGGAGAAACCAACTGCTCTGGATGTTGTGGAGCTTGACAAAATACTAAAAGCTTGTGAAGATAATGGTGTGCAGTTCATGGATGCAAGCATGTGGTATCATCATCCCAGGACTGCAAAAATGAAGGAACTTTTATCTGACCCTCATATCTTTGGACAAATTAAAGTGGTAAGTCAATTTAATTTCATCCCTAGCTTTCATTTCCAGTGTAGTGAGAAGTCATTGATTATAGTTTGTTGATGATGCATTGTATTTGTCCTGTTGGATTATATAATCTGATTTCTGAATTTTGGGCACTATGGATGAATTTATGTGCAATGTTTTGATGAAGGGTCATATTGTTGACCTTTCCATCTTATGTTACTATTGATGATTGTTAATTGAACTTTAACTAAGGGTTACGCATGTTTGTTGTAATGGTTGAAGATCCACACTTCAGCATCATTCTTGGCAGGTCCAGAATTTCTGGAGAATGATATCAGGGTAAAACCAGATTTAGATGCTCTAGGTGCATTGGGAGATGTAGGGTGGTACTGTGTTGGATCCATTTTGTGGGCTATGGATTTGAAACTGCCAACAACAGTAACAGCTGTGCCCAAAGTTGCCAGAAATCCTGCCGGGGTGATCATGTCGTGCAGCGCTACTTTGAACTGGGAAGAAGAGACTTTGGCGACATTTTACTGCTCCTTCCTGGCTGATTATACTCAGGACATAACTGTGTGTGCTTCCAAGGGAACGCTTAGAGTTCAGGACTTTGTACTCCCTTACGAAGGAACTACTGCTGCATTCAGCTTCACAACAGGTGCTAAGTTTGTTGATCTTCACATTGGTTGGAATGTGAAGCCACAGGAAGTTCAAGTGATTAACGAGCCGCCTCAAGAGGTTTTGATGGTTGAAGAATTTGCGAGGTTAGTGAAGAACATTAAATCTTCAAACTGTAAACCAGAGAGCAAATGGCCTCAAAAGAGCAGAATGACTCAGCTGGTGCTAGATGCTGTAAAGCAATCAATCGATCTTGGCTTTAAACCAGTTCATCTGTGACTGGCTTTTGACAGAATAAGATGTTACTTTACTAAATCAGACCAACCTTTGCATCTGAGACTTAGATCAATTTTCATAGCTGCAATGGCCTGAATAAGATGCTGCAAACATAAGTGATTTGGGTCTTGACATTGTAAAGCTGATTGCTCTTAGATTCCTGGGAAATAGTTTTTTGAAAAAGGCTTGACAAATCTGCCTCCTTCATCTATAAATAACCTTCCAATTACACTTACTTTTATATAGAGCAACATGTTGATAATATTAAAGGGGTAAGAAAAAGCAGTAAGTTGAACTAATTTGCATCGATAATTTTTCTGTCAATAAAAATCTGACTGCATTTCTTCTGATTTCCCAACAAGAATTTCATACTCCGACAAAAGAAAAGGAAGTAATGGATAAAATTTACCACATTAAATATTCAAAACCACTACTAGATCTTACCAAAATCCTGCACAAATTACTCCTAAGAATCAGTCAAAACCAACTTTTTATTCTTAAGTTCACAGAAACTACAATACCCCAATTCAGAAAACAGAGCAACCTGTTTCAAACGAACAGCACAAGTGGAAAAAAAATTCGAACTTAGCTTTAGTCCAAATCTCTTACAAGAGTTTCACTGTTTCAGGGATTTCTTCAAGGGTACTACGTTAAACAGCTTATTGTCAGAAACCTAAATAATTAACAAATTACATGAATCTAAAGACAAATTACACCATTTAATTTCACAGAGATAAACACCAATTCCCCTTTTGTCCGCCACCATCATTAGCCCTGGAGCTCAGATATACCGCAATAATCAACATCTTCATCCTCTTCTGAGTCCGAATCATAGGTACTGTAGTCATCCCCTGTCAGAGTGAAAGTGAATTTCTGCACTGCTAAAATCACTCGCATCCTTGGTGTCTTGGGACGCAAGCAACGAATTGACACACTTCCAATATCATCATCCTTAATGGGTGCCGTTGATTCAACCTCCTTAACCATAGACTCAGTCTTTCCGAAGAATGGTGTCTTAATTTCAGCGTTTTGTTGCTTTTGACCACAACCCTTTAGCATCATTCTGATTCTCTTCGCCTTCTCCTTGGTCCTCCAGACGTTTTTCTGGCTCTTGTTCTTGTTCAATTTCCACAACTTGTGACGGCAGAGGATCTCCTTGTATCCACTGATCTTCAAGTTCAATTTTTCCTTGCATTTGTTCGTCATTGTGTTGTTCTTTAGTTTCTTGATCCAACGAAATAGCAGCAGCTGATTTGTTCTTATTTACTGAGGGCGATTTATCGTTGAAGATAGAAAATCAGAAGAACCTAGTGGGTTGATTAGTGGATGGCGGCTTGTAGTAGTTATTTATAGAAGTTGCGATGAAAACCTACTGAGAATTGGATTCACTCACCGACTTTAAGGAAGTAAAGAATATTTTAGGAATTATTATAAATTTCAAAAAAGAAAATTTGCCCCTTTTTTTAGTCGTTTATTTAAATTTTAAAGCTACTTCTTTTAAAAAAAAATTCAATTTATTATTATTTTTTTTTAATCTTTCTACACTTGTTGGAATCGAATACTCTTTTACTGTACTCCTCTGAGTAATTGTAAGAACTCATTTACTGTCTACATTTAGTTTGTGCCATTTTCTTTTTTGTTAATTCTAAGTTGTAATATGCATTTTATTTGATTTTGGTAAGATCTTGTATTCTTAACTTAAATGCATTCCTAGCTTGGGATTGATGTTACCAAATTTTTCCAACTATTCATAATCTAAGGACGTAGTAAGAAATAAGTACTATACATCAGATCCTCTCTGATCAAACTTCCAATACAAGTTTTATTTTGATACTTTAATTGTCATTTTAAAGATATGCTTTGCTATAAAGTGTGGTGGACAAAATAATGTAACTAACTGATGATTGAGGACACATAACGAAACCTGAAAGAAACCATCTGTTGGAGTCAGAATATGTAAATTAAGCAATTACGGAGCTCTATGATATCTCCCTGCTGGCTGGATATAATTGAAAGTTGAAATTGGAAAACTACACTGAAATTGCTGGGCTCACTGACGGAATGAGTTTGTGATGGTTGTAGTAATTTAGTCAACACAGCTACTGCTGCAATTGTTTACTAGTTTTTGGACAAGACCAAAAATTGGGTTACAACATGATATAAGTTATTGTGATTATGTCTTATAGATCATACATTCCAGTAAAATAATTAGTCATGGTTGTCGATGAGGAATAACCCTAAAAATATCTTTCAGAAAAAAAAAAAAAAAAAAAAGAAAGGGACTTGCGGGAATCTGTGAAAGGTAGTCTAAAATTGTTGCATTTCTGACACATCTATAAAGAAATTAGAGTCAAAAGGTAAACACTTAAAATCTCAATTGCAAAGTATACACCTTTTCTGCTAATTTAAACTATAAAAGCTAGAGGAGTCTCATGTTCTGAACTGAACGCTGTTGTTTCTAAGACCACGGTTTCAAAGGAACATTTTTGGCACATCTTACTAAAAGCAGCATATAAACCATCTCTGCCATATTTACATTTTTTGGTCTAGAAATACTTCGAGAAATATAAGGTTCTTGGATTGCAACGTCATCTCATTTTTCCATGTTTGTCACTTATCCCAAAACGCAAGTAAAACGTACTGTATCTGAGGATTGAAGCAAGCTATCGACCAGTGAATTCAGTGAAAGAGGCTGTGGCATTAGAGTTCGATGAAGTGGTATCAGTTAATGACGTCAATGTGTCTCTGAAGAACCTCCTATCAGAACTGATAGTACTATTAGAAGGGCGACGCTGTTCGATTGACTGATCACTTGACAGCATGATAAGTACTTCAGTCATGGTAGGTCTCTCAGATGGCTGTGATTGGGTGCAGATCAAGGCGACCTCTATGAATTTCTTCACTTCTGCTACATTGTAGTCATTAGGGTCCATAGTTTCGTCCACCAATTGTATATGCGAGTCGGTCTCATATAGCTTCCATGCCTATAATCACAATGGCAAATGAGAAATATTGGAGAAGCTTATGTATAGTTATAACAAGATCAATTCTGCTTCTAAAGGGATTTTGTAAAGCAATTTACCTTCTCGAGAAGGTACTCACTGATAGGCTCAACTGTCATGTCATTGCTTCTTCTGCCACTGATTACTTCAAGGGCAACAATGCCGAAACTGTAAGTATCAACTTTCTCAGACAAATGTCCATGAACTGCATATTCTGGTGCTGTGTAGCCCCTGTTGCAAAAACATTAAAGTTCAGCATTTATCTGTATATGATTGATCAATTGGTTTTCATGATGTTTCACAGCTGTTGAATAGGCATGAATCACTTTCACATACAAGGTACCGGCGAATCTAGTACTCAAATGACTCTGATCGTCAGGCAGAAGCTTTGCCAATCCAAAATCAGCAATCTTGGGCAGAAAATCATCATCTAGTAAGATGTTGCTCGACTTGATATCCCGATGAATAATGCAAACATGATATTGTTCATGTAAATATGCTAGTCCCCTAGCCGTGCCCAATATTATGTTAGAGCGCTGTTTCCAACTGAGAAATCCCCTTTTCTCTCCTGTCAACATGAATAGAAAGGATCTTAGTAGTTGCACATTCACAACATTTCAAGGACTGATTTTTTACTGCAGAAAGTTAAAAGATGATTGATGAATGCAATAGTAAAAGATAATGATTGATAACCTTTTTAAGTTCAGAGATGAGATTGCATACCATATAAAAATCTATCTAAGCTTCCATTTGCCATGTATTCATAAACCAGGAGGAGCTCTGCTCCTTTGTTAGCACATCCCAGTAGGCGCACAAGGTTTCGATGATGAACATTACTAATGAGTCTTACTTCACTTTCAAACTCGGCTTTCGCCCTACCAGACCTTATGTTTAGCTTCTTCACAGCTACTACACTACCATTTCTCAAGGTACCCTGTAATGTTGGCAAATGATCAATGGAGTCAGGAGATAAAAACATACATTTTAATGGAAAACTGGCAAACTGAATCTAGTACATTACCTTGTACACCTCGCCAAAACCGCCTTCTCCAAGTTTATTTTCTTCACTAAAATCATTGGTTGCAGATTTCAAAACTTTGTAGCTGTAGGTTACTGGACCTTGCAGTTCTGTTGCTCCTAAGATATCACCTGACAGACCAGACAATGACAACAAGACCGCCTTTGTGAAATTTGGGCAGAAAAACAGCAAATTTACTTCAAGTAGTGTTGATCAAGAGCTATCTTAATTACCTCTCTGAGCTTTCTTTGGTTTTCTATAGAGTAGATACCCTAACAATAAAGCAAATATAATTAAGAGAAGGCCTACACCACCAACCACGCCTCCAATAATTGCCTTCTTTTTGTTTGAGCCTCCTGTGAAGATGAAATAGTTGTCACTGAAAGCGAAATGAAGATAAATAGTTCGCCATTGAGGTAAAGTTATCTCCATAAGATGTTGTCCAGAAATGGATTTATGCCAATAGAGAGGAAAAAGACATCTCACCTCCCCCTAGATAAGGATTAATGTTGGTAGTCTGGTTATCAGCAAAGAAGGGAGTTGCTGAATACCTCATAAAACAGCCTGCATCAAAAGCCCTTCCGTCGGTATTAGGTAAACAGCCTTGTATATTTCCATCTGCCACTGTCAAGCAGTCTTGACAACCGCTCGGGCTGACTGTTTCGGCGCACTGGGCAAGTGCGTAAACTGTATCACCACCATTGCTCAACTGCCTCTTTGTCGCGGCGAAGAATCCATTGATTCGCGGCGTGGCGAGTTTCAGTTCCTGTAAGAGAGTTTCTGCCTCAGTTTGGAAATTAGCTGGCTGAGGTGCAGTTTGATTGCTACATATCTGAGAATTTCCCTGAACAGTAGTCTGGTCATAGAATGTTGTACTCTCATACCTTCCAAAAAAAGGAACAATTTTTGTTAGAAAAGCCTACAGAACTTCCAATTCTTCCAATTCAGCTATGATTTCCAGAGATACTCGTTCACATGGGATGGGACTAAATGGAATAAACCAATGTTTAGCATGTCTGTTGATGAAATTTCAGTGAACTAAGAATCCTGAGCTCATTTAACTTAACAATTTTCGATTCAGGTTTCAGCAACTCAGTAATAAAAACACCAAATTCCTTCTTTATTGTTCTATATGATATAAATGCATCAACTAACAAAAGTGAAGTACCAATAATGTTATTATCCATATATTCCATGGAGGGGATGTAATGATGGTATCATGTAGTATATGTATCTAGACTCAGAGCAACTTGCAGGCCTGGTTCAATAATTGAATAATTGAATGTCATTTTCAAATCCATCTTCTTCCTTTTTTTTTTTTTCTTTTTTGATCTTTTACTCTGAAATAATACCATCTTTACAGGTCTTTATCATTTCAATGAAAAGGGATGAAATCTTTGAAAAAGAACACGAAGAAAACAGAGCAAGCATAAAGTTTTGAGACCTGAAGAATTTTACCTGAGGAAGCAGCCATCATAAATAACACGAGCTCCATTGGCAGCAGAGCAATTCCTGATCTGGGAAACCGCAGTATTGTAACAAGAAACACAATCAGCAGTGGAAAGGTAATCCCTGCACTGAACCATGGCATAAACAGGGTCCGAAGACCTGGCTTGTTGAGCAGTTGCAAAATGTTTGTTTGACAATTGGTTCCTGAGATCAGCCAAAGTGGCATTAAGGTTGCTGAAGAAGTTCCCGGTGTTTGACGCATTGTACTGACTGCATCCCTTATTTACCAGAGTGGTTTGAGGGTCTGCATTTGCTGATTGGAATGATATTATTGATACAGCAAGAAATCCCACCATAACCATAAGCTTGAAAGGCCAGCAAGTTCCCATTGTTTGAGCTTGGTTTTCGACACTGAAAATGTTGAGACAATTCTGATTTTCCTCGGGATTGTTTAAAAAAGAAATGAAAAGAAAAGAGGAGAATATGAAAATCAGGATGGACAAAATCAGGTGACAAGCTGAGGATTAAGGAAAGGACAAAACTAAAGGCAAAACCCAATCGGTTTGGCTTCAGAATTATATAAGTTAGGCAATGACTGTCTGACTGAGGTTATAAGGTCCACATAATTGAGTTTGGAATTTTTTTTCTTTTTTTTTTTTGGTACAATAAAGGAGACAAAGTCATACGTAATGTTGCTATACTCGTTTAGTCTTTTAAATTTGTACTAACAAACGTGCTATAAAATCTATCTTCTTATAATTAAACTTCAGTAGCTTCAAATATGATTTTTCAAAAAAAAGTAGCTTCAAATAGATTGTCGATTTTTAAAACTAATAATTCGGAGGAAAAGCAAAATAATTAATTAGTGAGAAGACCTCATGTCATGTGGTTTTTTCATTTCAATAGAAGTACGAAAAGTATCCTGACTTCCTGATCCTTCATTAAATTCCGGCTGCTATTCTTTAACTAATTGGATTTGACTATCTTCCTAAAGGATGGGCAAAAAACTGCATAATCCAAAATGGTCAATTAAAAATTAGTTAGGTTAATTTTATGTTTAATAATACTTCTTACATCCCATGTTAATAATCCATTTTGCTAAACTGTTTCAATTCGATAAAATAAATAGTTAAAGTGAAACGAAGAAAGTAATATTTTATGTTTAAATATAATTTACTTTGTTATATTGTTTTAATATAAATTATTATAACCATTATATATTCGCGTTGATGCAATGCATGACGCCTAAAAGAAGCAAGTAGGTGCGTGTTGGCCTGCATTTTTGTCATTGTACCAGTTTTTTCAATCCACAAATATAGTCAAATTAAGAAAATGATTTACGCGTACTTAATTGTTTAAATACTAAATTAATATTATAAATAGTTGATTAATAGAAATATTTGATGGGTAGATTTGGATGTCGAGACTAGTTGATGTTTAATGAAAGAGTAGTAGTACATACAAGTAAAAATTACAAGGAAATGTACACTGAGTTATGCGAGTTAAATTTAAACTACTCTCTAATTAACTTTAAAATTATAAAACTTCAAATGACAAATGTAAAAATGAATGAATGGTTCATTGTTTTTATAACTTCAATTATTCCTATTATATATGAAAATGTACAATGAATGAATAATTTATAACTTTAATTATTCCTACATCATGTATTATCACTTTTCGTTATAAATTATTCCTCTATGTATCACTACGGAATGGCTGCTTCTTACCGAAATTCTAATTCTTGATCAAACTTGTGTTCCTCGAGCATTGTGACTTGTGAGACGGGCATTTTCCTTCCTCTATCAAATAGATGGACTCTTTAGTTTTTGTTTTTTTTTTATTATCTTTTAAATCCTTAGTTTCTTTACTCAAGGAAAAAAAAAAAGTTTCTTTACTCAAAATATTTTAATTTGGCGCATCTATTTGTGGATTAATGTTCGCACGGATCTAACATAGCAGCCAAAGTTCCCTTTCATTTCTATGTTCTACAAAGAATTTAGTCGATTGTTAATGGGAAAATATATAGTTCTTCAAAAGAACTTATCATTACTCCTTTTGAAAGAATTATTGAGATTGAGATGTCCATACTTGGTACTAGTTGATAATTTGGACCTGTCACAGTCGACAGAAAAATGTCAAAGGTCAAATAATTTTTCAGTCTCAAAAATGTCAAGGAAAATCTGTGAAATAATTTATTTCATATCCGTTTTCTCAATTTCAAAATATAAATCGTGTTTATCGTAACATTTTAATTTAACGAACGATAGCATATAATTTAACGAACCATAATATTACTTTGGTACAGAGAGGGAACTTTTCTTTGGTTGCAAGTCCAAACGCACATTCAACTATTCGAGTTGATCATTTGCCCTAGTAATAAGTTCGCAGAAAATAACATACTTTGTTTGATACTGTGATAGTTTCGAAGAATTATGTAAATTAAATTAGTGTAGTAGAATAATTTATAAAATATATATATATATATATATGAACAACCATCATACGTCAACAAATAAATAATGTTGTTATCTGGGAAAGAAGGATATAAGGTCCTCAATTCAGACCTTCAAATCTAGAATTTTCAATTCCTTGGAATTGACGAGGTCATCCTTTACGAATATTAATATGTATGACGAATTCATTTGTTTGTCCTTCAAATATGATTATTTTTTATGATTTTTTTGTTAGTTTCGTCTCAAACTTATTCTTACCAAATGTGTATTTTCCCAAGAACAAAAAAAATCATCATATTTGTTGAATTAAAACAGTATAACAAATATGATTTTTATTTTCGACGATGAATTTAAATTTATTATCCTTCTTTTATATTAAAGGTTTCTCAGAAAATCTAAGTTTAATTCGGTTCTACGTTCGCCTGCCAACATAAAAGTTACATAACAACTTCTTAAATGCGCAAGTTGATCTACTCGTAAATAATGTTACGCATAAAAGACTCCAATTAATGCTTTATAGTTTCATCAGTTTTGAATTATTTTTTCTTTTTATATTATAATATTTACACTTAAACAACCATCGTAAATGGTAGTGATTAGTGACTTTTTATTTATTATTTATCTCATACTTATTATTTCTTAAAACGTCTAGAATTCTGATATATTTGACATATCATGTAAGTTAAAGCCTACATTTTCATTCTGACAAATCCAAAATAGGATTCCATAGTAGGTTCTTGATTTGAACTAATTAAAATGAAATCTTTCTTCTTCTTTCTTTTTTCTTTTTTCAATCCGACCTACCCTCCCTTTTCCCTTTCTGTTAAAACTGAGCTATACCTACTATATCCTGAAATAATACATAGTCATGAAAAAATAATGAGTTGAAGAGAAAAAAAAGTTACATAATCGGGAATCAAATCAATACCCACCCTCCTGGTGGGTTTAGAGAGGATTCCTAAATAATAAAGAATCAGTCCCTTCCTGCTAATTTAAAACCCATCAACCAAACACTAACGGTAAGAATCATTACATTCCTTCATTCTAATACCCATCAACCAAACATCCCCTTACTTTTAGTACAAAGAGATATTTACTACATTATTATTACAAAACAGTGAGACAAACAGTTTTTTATTATTAGGATAAGGACCTAACTACCGAGATAATTAGTATTTAGTAGCGCTATTAATCTACAGACAATGAAAAAAAGTCAAATGCATCTTTAACTTAATTTGCCTAAAAAGTCAGTAAATGGACATGGGCGGCAAGCCGGCCACGATGACGGGAATGGAACATTATTCAGCTCTGAGTTGATATTGGCCAATCCCATTATTTGATGCTGAAGTTCTGATGACGTCACGTAATAGAAATTTGGAGACGTGATTTATGATTCTTATTCACTCCTTTTTGGGTTGGAACTAGTAACTATATATCTTTGTGTCTTAAGAAATTATTTAAGGGGGGAAAAAGAGTAAATTTGGGACAAGGCCAACTAGATTAGTTGCAACCCAATTCAACTCCTTGTCTCAAAAGAAAAGAAAAATCTCATCAATTCATACTGTCTTCTAATTTATAACATTCCAAATAATTACAAATGTTTGTTGGATTACGTACTTGGTAGTTAGTACAAACGCTATTATCATTGTATAGATGCCATATCAACTACTTCTCAGTAGTTAGAACTTAATCCATTTTGACTTTTCCAAATGTACTAAATGCCAGATTGTGATATTTTTGAGTTTTGACCTTGGCTTAGGCGGAGGGGATGGTATAAAAAATGGAAAAAGAAAACAAAAACTACAAAACTAGGAATCCGAGCTAATTAAAATGCTGGAAAAAATATTTAATAATGTTGTGAGAGGAAAAATAATTTTGATTTCACTCCGTTTTAGCAGGGCCATAACGAAATGGACAGACCAAATTTGCATTCACTAATACTCAGCCCAGCTGCCCACTGTATTGGAATACAAGAAAGTCCGATTTCAAACGGCCTTTTAACTACTCCATTCCATTCCATATAGTCCATATTCTTTTTTTTTTTTTTTTTTTTTAGTCTTTTGACAATGGTTAGGCAAAATGTCCCTAATTTGTCATATACCCTTGACTCACCAGTCACCAGAGAAAGCTCATGCTGCTAATTGTTGGACTTGCGATCATTACTTCCTTTTTGTTCCACCATTTTTACAGTTACGAAATTTCTCGGAAAGACGAGTAATCGCGGCGTATCTGAAGATGGAAGCAAGCTATGGAACCAGTGAAATCGATTGAAGGTGCAATTTCATTAATATGATGTCAATGTGTATCTTCTTCATCAGTTAATAACCTTGTATCAGAACTGGTGTTACTGTTAGAACTGTGACACAACTCTTTGATCGGCTGATCATGTGACAGCATGGTAACTACCTCGGACATGGCAGGCCTTTCAGAAGGTTGCGATTGAGTACATATCAAAGCCAGCTCCATCACTTTCTTCACTTCTGCAACATTGTATTCATTCGGGTCCAAAGTTTCATCCACTAACTGTAGATGCGTGTTGGTCTCGTGCAGCTTCCTTGCCTGTTTTTTGTTTTTACCACCATTAAAGTGATCAACAATTGTCATATTATAGAAGCTAATCTATGGATAACTGATAGTACTTATCATGATCAATTTGGTTTGAAACTAACCTTCCCGAGAAGGAACTCGCTGACAGGCCCAACCCCAACCGCCGTGTTGTTGCTTCTGCTGCCGCTGATTATTTCAAGGATCACAATGCCAAAGCCGTAAGTATCAACTTTCTCAGACAAATGTCCATGAACTGCATACTCTGGTGCTGTGTATCCCCTGTTGTTGCAAAAGCAGGTGTTTTGGATGGATGAAAATGTTGTTGAACTTAAATGCCATTGTAAAGTGACTTTATCACTTTATCAACTACTAGAAATATTGATTAATGTTATTCATCATGATATTTACATACAAGGTACCAGCAAATCTAGTGCTCAAATGACTCTGATCTCCAGGCAAAAGCTTTGCCAATCCAAAATCTGCAATCTTTGGGTGAAAATCGCGATCGAGTAAGATATTGCTTGACTTGATGTCCCGATGGATAATGCAAGCATGATATTGTTCATGCAAATATGCAAGTCCCTTAGCTATGCCGATTATAATGTTAAACCGCTTCTTCCAATCAAGGTATCCTCTTTTCTCTCCTGTTAACAGGAAGAACACAAAGATTAGGAATCCACAAGCTGTTGAATGCTGATCATGCGGAGAATCCTTGTTAAGTTGAAAGATGAACAAACCATATAGAAAGCTATTTAAGCTTCCGTTTGCCATGTACTCATAAACGAGCAGCAGTGCTGTTCCTTTGTTGGCATATCCGAGCAGGCGCACAAGATTCCGATGGTGAACATTACTTATAAGTTTGACCTCACTCACAAACTCTGTTTTCGCCCTACCAGAAGTTATGTTTAGCTTCTTTACCGCAACTACCTTACCATTTCTCATTGTTCCCTGAAATGTTACCAATGACAGATGCATTCGAAACAGAAAACAGGCATCATAGACTGATATCGAAGGAGGAAATCATTAAAATTTTGGGAACTGCAAGAAAGAAAAAGACCTTAATGGAAGCCAAAGGACACAAACTGAATAGGCTACCCTACCTTGTACACCTCACTAAAACCGCCTTCGCCTTGTTTATTCTCTTCACTAAAATCTTTCGTTGCAGATTTCAGAACCTTGTAGTCATAGGTTACAGGACCTCGTAGTTCTGTTGTACCAAAGATATTACCTGTTACACCAGAAAAACAATAAGTCATATGGTGTAAAAAAAAGTGAGCAGAAAAGGACCAAAAATTCTTGAGAGTACGGAAAAAATTGTATAAATAATTGACTTCTGATTGAATTAACTGAAATTTGGAAAGAAAAAATTGAGGGAGAGAGAGAAAGAGAGTGGTATAGGCTGTTTATCTTTGCAAGAGAAGCCATCTTACCTTTCTCAGCTTTCTGTGGTTTTTTGTATAGTTGATACCACAACAACAATGCAAGTATAGCTAGGAGAAGGGAAACACCACCAACAGCTCCAAGAATAATTGCTTTTGTTTTGTTTGAGCTTCCTGAGAAGAAGCAATTATTGTCAAATCTGAAAGCAGAATGGAAGTACAAATGTAGAAAATAAGCTCCATTTAGTTGTTGTTGTCCATAAATGGATTCATTAATGGAAAAAAAACTTCTCACCTCCTATTGCTCCTAGATAAGGGTTGATGTTGATTGTCTGGTTATCAGCGAAAAAAGCAGTTGTTGAATACCTCAGAAAACAGCCTGTATCATAAGCCCTTCCATCTGTATTCGGTAAACAGATATCTATATTGCCATATGCTACCCTCAAGCAATCTTGACAACTACTTCGGTTGACTGATTTGGCGCATTGAGCCACCGCATAAACTGCATCACCGCCATTACTCAATTGCCTCTTTGATGCGGCAAAGAGTCCATTAATTCGCGGTGTCGCTAGTTTAAGATCCTGTAAGAAAGCTTCTGTTTGTGTTCGGAAAATAGTTGGCTGTGATGCAGTTTGATTGCCACAAACCTGACCATTTCCCGGAACAACAGCCTGGTCATAGAATATTTGGCCTTCCAGCCTGAAAAAAAAAAGGAACAATCTATTGATTAAGAGCCTACTGAACTTTCAAATATCAATCATTAGTACACCTTCTGTTGAATTAAAGAGATTCTATTCTCAGTTTATCAAAAAAAGAGATTCTGAAAAAGAAAATGGATTAGGAAGAAGAACCATTGGACTAACTTCTTTATTATATGCATGTCTGTTTGGATACTTTACTTCAAACTAAATTCTAACTTCTGCAACAAATTTACCACTATGAAAAACCTCTTGTACTGAAATCTCTAATTTCCCTAATTTTAAGATAGCCAAGCACCATTCCAACACGGAAAAATAACAGCTTCACATGAAGTAAAGAAATCGCTTAGCAATTCAAGAGGGTAACTGACGGAATAAGCCGCATTCTGTCAAATGATACAATCTTTACAATTTATCATTTTGATGAAGAGGGAAAAAGACTAGTGTTGGATATACCTGAGGAAGCAGCCATCATATATAACACGACCTCCAGCACCAGGGGAGCATTTTTGCATCCTGGAAACAGCAGTATTGAAGCAAGTAATACAATCAGCAGTTGAAAGGTAATCCCTGCAATGAAACAGGACGAAAACCGGGTTTGAAGGCCTGTTTATCTGTGCAGTGGCAAAAAGCTTGTTATTTTCTTGTAATAGCTGGTTTCTAAGATCAGCAAACGTGGCATTAAAATTGATGTAGAAAGCCGTGGAATTATCAGGAGGGTAGAGATTGCATCCCTCATTTACCAAAGTGATTTGTGGGTCTGAATTTGCTGATTGGAATGAGATTGATACAGCAAGAAATGCTATCATAACCATAAGCCTACTAAAGGGCAAAAAATTCCCCATGTTCCGGCTGATTTTGGTACTGAAAATGTTGGAGGTTTTTTTATCAGTTTGTGTAAGAACTAATTAAAGTACAATTGTATTAAACTCAACTATGGAGTCTAACTGAGACTTACGTCACACCAAGACTTAAGAGTCAACCGTGTTGCTGGTGGCAGAAATAGTCAAACAAAAATTCATCAAAAGTGTGGGTCATTTATCAGAAATAATAGGCATCATTTTTCCGAATCAAAAGCAGTAGTCAACACTCCACATTCCACAAGACCACAACACATGCCCGGTCAAGAGCATGTATGGCAGGATTCAATGACAATAATGGAAAGAATTTTTCAAAAGGACACAAGAATGAAATTCAAATTTCGGTAATGCCCTATGGAGTTTTTGACCAAAATATAATCAAGAAAAGAAGAAATGCCCAAGAATGTGGCCAAAAGTATGATTATCATATTTGGATTTGCCACTTGTATGAAAAGCAGATTTCCAAATTCCGAAATCAGCATAGAATCGGATTTAGTAAATACGATAGTCATATTTTTAGCCATTCACTTGTTCCTCAACTATTTTTGGTCACCTTTTTCTTTGGAGAATTATTTCTCAAACACCCTGGTCTTTGTATTTTGTGGTAGACACTCAAAACAATTTCTTAAAAATTTCACCAACTTCCTAACTGAAAAAAAAAATATAATACAAATAGTGTCACACAAGATTGTTCGCCCTCAACATTACATGCTCAAATTAGCAGAAAGAGGAAAAAGTTGATTTTCCAAGTTTAGGTGTGCAATGGTGCATACAACTTACAATTACTCATCCCATTTCGAAATAATTATACAATTTAAAAAAAATTTATTTTTAATATTATTTTTTTGGTATTAATCGTACTAAAAATAAAAAATTTAAATAGATTAATTACTTTACTACGGAGCGAGTAGTATCCTAGTTGACCTAATTTTTATACGGTGACCTAGTGGTGCGCGCGGGATAGCTAGCTTGACTTAAACAGCTTCGCGAAGGAACTACAAGCAAAAAAAAAAAAAAGGAAAAAGCGAGAGCTCATGGGCGTGTTTTAGATTAATCTTTTTGATTAAGTGATGACGAATATGTTATGATTATTGTTTTTTTTTTTTTTCCTTTTTGAAGTAAGTTATGCTTATTGTAATTATACAGCTTAGTGATCCTCTCAATACCAGTGTTTCCGGAGAAAAGTAAAATCCTCAAACCAAAACTCCATACATTATAGATGCAGAATTATTACTATTAACGATTGTTGATCTTTGTAAGATCAAATATTTCAAAAGGCATCAGTTTGCCACAACTCACAAAAAAAGAAGTAGAAAAAAGGAATTCAGAAATTACAAATAATACACTCTCCATGCATTATAAAACACAATCTCTGCCTACGCATCACACCATTGGCATCAGGTGGTTCTTTGTTTTGCTCCATCATTTCTCATTTATTTGTATATCATCGAAGACGGGTCCTCACTGCTGTATATGTGAAGATTGAAGCACCTTTATCGACCAGTGAAGACAGTGAAAGAGGCTGTGGCATTGGAGTATGATGTGTAAACCTTCTGATCAATACTATCAGAAGAAAGGCGACGATGCTCGATTGACTGATCACTTGACAGCATCACAACTACCTCAGACATGGTAGGTCTCTCAGAAGGTTGTGACTGAACACATAACATCGCGATCTCTATCACTTTCTTCACTTCTGCAGCATCGTAGTCATTAGGGTCCATTGTCTCGTCCACCAATTGAAGTTGCTCGCCGATTTCATACAGCTTGCATGCCTATTAATCATGACCAAAACAAAATTGGGAAAATGTCACGCCTGATTAGCTAATTTATAATACTGAAACAAAGATAAATAAGCTTTGTAATTAACGAGATCGATATAATACGTTACCTGCCCAAGAAGAAACTCACTCTCAGGCTCCACTTTCATGTTGCATCTTAGGCCGCTGATTATTTCTAGTGTTACAATACCGAAGCTGTAAGTATCAACTTTCTCTGTCAAATGCCCTTGAGTTGCATATTCTGGTGCTGTGTAACCCCTGCGCGGCAATACATTTTCTCAAATTTAGTAACATTAATAAACTGATAGCATTATCAATCAATAATCATGACTCATGTCCAGAATCTGTTTTTCTCTATACCTGGTGACTTATTCTCGTGATTTAGTACACATCAATCAATATAATTAATTAGTGTACTGTACTACTATATTAAGTTATAAATGAATTTTACACTTACAAGGTACCAGCAAATCTGGTGCTCAAATGACTCCGATCTTCAGGCATAAGCTTTGCCAATCCAAAATCAGCAATCTTAGGCTGAAAATCATCATCTAGTAAAATATTGCCCGACTTTATGTCGCGATGAATGATGCAAACATGGTATTGTTCATGGAGATACGCGAGACCCCTAGCCGTGCCAAATATTATGTTAAACCGCTGCTTCCAATTGAGATATCCTTTGTTCTTTCCTGTCAACAGAAACAGAAATGAATCTTCTCAATATGACAGATGAGTTCGAGAGATAAAAGAAAGCAAAACTATGTATCCTCCATCAGAATTTTCTGGCATTCATAAAAACTCACTGTAGTTTCAAAGATGAGATTACACATTACCGTATAGATATCTATCCAAGCTTCCGTTTGCCATGTACTCGTAAACAAGGAGCAGCTCAGCCCCTTTGTCAGCACAACCTAGAAGGCGAACAAGATTCCGATGGTGAACATTACTAATCAGTCTGACTTCACTCTCGAACTCTGCTTTTACCCTGTCTGAACTTAGGCTAAGCTTCTTGACAGCAACAACGTTACCATTTGCCAATGTGCCCTGTGATGTTGGCCATGATTGATAAAATTCAGGACAGGAAACAGTCATTTATAAACGACTTCTAAAGAGAGAAAATGGACTAATCAAGAATTTTATCAAAGAAATGACCTCGTATAGGGGAACAGGACACAAATTGAATATGATACATTTACCTTGAACACCTCACCAAAACCACCTTCTCCAAGTTTATTTTCTTCGCTGAAATCTTTTGTTGCTGATTTCAGAGCCTTGTAGCTGTAGACTACTGGACCTTGCAGTTCCGTTGATCCCAAGATATTACCTGGTACATCAGAGAATAACAAGAACAATATGGAGTAAAAATTTAAGCAGAGAAATAACAATAATTCATGCTAGTTAAAGAACATAACAAAAATTCTCTTTCCAAGCAGAGCCACCTTCACCTTTCTGAATTTTCTTCGGTTTTCTGTATAGTTGATACCATAACAATGAAGCAAGAATAATAAGTAGGAAAATGCCAACACCACCAACAACTCCGACAATGATTGCTTTTGTCTTGATTGAGCTCCCTGAGAAGATGCAAAAATCGTCATGTCAAAACTAGAATGAAAACCGCAAGAGATTCATTAAAGGAAAAGAATAAATCTCACCTCCTTGTGCTCTTAGATAAGGTTTGATGTTGGTTGTCTGGTTATCGGCGAAAAAAGGAGTAGCTGAGTACCTCATAAAACACCCAGCATCATAAGCTCTTCCTTCGATTTTCGCTATACAGCCTTGCATATTGCCATAAGCCACCCTCAGGCAGACTTGACAGCCAGTTGGGGTGACTGTTTCAGCACATTGGGCCATTGCATAAACTGAATTGTTACTATTGCCCAATTGCCTCTTCGATGCAGCATAGAATCCATTAATTCTCGGCGTTGCGAGTAGTAGATCTTGTAACAAAGCTTGTGTCTGATTTTGAAAAATAGCTGGCTGTGATGCATTTTTGCTGCTGCATGTCTGAGCATTTCCTTGTTGAGTGGTCTGGTCATAGAAAACCGTACTCTCGTACCTGTAAGTGGAGAAAATTAACGTTGTTGATCAACATTTTGTAGCTTTTGATTCGAATCTCAAAGTCAAAACAAAAGGGATTACGAAGCAATATCTTTTTATCATATCAGATCATAATCATCAGAACCTGAAATTTTGGGATTTACCTTAAGAAGCAGCCATCATATAAAACACGAGCTCCATTAGCATTAGCACATTTCCTGATCTTGGGAACAGCGGTATCGTAACAGGAAAGACAATCTGCATTGGAAAGGTAATTCCTGCACTGAAACAGGGCATAAACAGGGTGGTTTGTGGTAGCAAAATGCTTCTTCTCTTGTGATATCTGGTTTCTGAGATCAGCGAAACTGGAATTGAGATTGATGAAGAAATCATTGATATCAGTAACATTGTACTGGCTGCATCCCTGAATTATAAATTTGGTTTGAGGGTCTGAATTTGCTGTTTTGAATGAGATTGACAAAGCAAGAAATACTACAAAAACTACAATAGGTGTGAAAGGCCAGCAAGTTCCCATGTTTTTAATTTGGCTGAAAATGTTGCAATTTTGAGTTTGAATCAGAGATACTAAACTCGGGATGGATGATAACTGCTCGTCTCAGAACTATATATAGGCTATCACTGAGAGCTGTACCAAGGCATATCGCTCTATAGTTGATTTTCGGAAGTCGTTTATCTTTGAGTCTTACTTCAAACCTTTAAAGTATGAAAATGACAAACCAAAATACAAAGCTTATTTTACCTTTGCTTTTGGTAAAATGAGAAACGAAATACTAGTCATGTATAGTTTTTTAATCTTTCCATTCCATCTTATTATTATTTTTATAGTAATAATTAAATAACAATAATAATTAATGTCGTATATTGACAACGAAGCTAATTTTACCGGAAGCTATATATCAAACTCTATAAGGAATTGTAGTCTATTTTTTAAAACTTATTTATTATTATTATTATTATATTGCATATTTGCAGGGCATCCACCATCAGTACCGTCGTCAAAACTTATTAAACAATATAACAAAATAACTTTTTTTTAGACGAGGTTTAGGCGATAACGTGTTATATTTTCAAGGAAGTTAATTTTATATACAATACTATTTTCTGTATCCCAAAATTCTTGTTTAATTTGATTTTTTTTTACTTTTAATTCAATTTGTACTAAAAATGAAAATTCAAATTGAACAATAATTTTGGTAGGGAGGGAATATATTATTAGGAATCAACTACGCCCAAATGTTTGTACCATTAAAAAAACACTACGGCCAATGTGCTTACAAACATTACTGGTTAACATTACACCTTTTGCAGCAAAGTGTTTTGTCTACTAATGTGATCCTATGTTATATGATTAAATCTGTTGAAAGTGATAAAGTTGGAGGAAACAAAGTCTCTTAATTACTACAATTATTGATGGAGTGTGTTTTGGTTTCCAAGACTAATAGAATCAGGACTTTTTATGCATTTATTTATTTATTTTTTTGTGTGGGTTTTTTCTTAAACCTTTACTTACGTTCTATATAGAATCAAATCGATTAAAAGAGTTTTTCTTACAAAAACAATAATCCGCGTCATCCACATTGACCTGGAAACCGTCCAAAGATAAGTGTCGCTTGGAAGTGTAGTAAAAGACTTAGAAAAAAAGGAAAGTTATTTTTCACAGAACGTCAAATTCGTACGGACTTAACAACACTAACCTCATCAACTGTTATCTTATCCGAGTTCCGAGTTAAATGATTTTGCTTAAAAACTCAGCATTTACGTTATAATAAATAGGTCTGCATAAGTGAAATCCTCGATGTCACTATCAAATTTCACCTAAATTATGCAACACCTTGAAAACAAGAAGGAAAACGCTGTCCATCTAGCTCTTTTGCTTTTCGAAAAAATATAAAGATGATCCGTTTTGCAGGTTCATGTACTCTCCATTTCAAAATGATTATTTTATTTAATTTTTAATTTTAGATAAATTATATTAAGATTAGAAATTCAAAATAAACAATCAATGTGAGATAGATTTTGGAATTTACTTAGGTCGTCTATTTGATGAATTCGTCTTCCATCTCCCTTTTCGTACAGCACGAATTGGGAGGGAAAAAAAAAGAAATGATGTAACCGTAGGCGACTAACATGAAGACTTCGTTGACGATTTGAATACATCAGAGATATGATCCTTAATTTTCAAGTAGACCACTTGTTCATTTTTGTTCGTATTGTTTTTAACTTCTTTTCATATTTTTTTTTCAAAGAATTAATTTCTTACATACTCCCTCCATCCCATAATCACTGTTCAGTTTGTGTTTTCATTTCTAGTTCAATTTAAATTAAAAGTAAAATCTCAAACTGGACAATAATTTTAAGACAGAGGGAGTATTACTTAGCCTAAAAAAATGTAAAAATATGATAATTAAAGACTTATAAGAATTAATAACATTCAGAAATAGCCTTTTTTTACTTGTAAAGAAAATGAAATAAATGATCAATCAAATTTTTCTGATTAAAATTAAAGTGTCTTTAATCTCAATTTTGGAGCTAGCACAATCGATCTTGCATGACCCGGCAGACAGTCAAACGAACACTATTCCCTGGCTTAACTTTGTCCAATTCCTTCTTCTATATTTTATTTTCCTTCATGGAAATATATTTATCGAATTCTTCCGATCATGCTTACGTGTCACGGTATCTTTGCCATATATCTTAGCCAGTGCGAGAAACAAATAATTACGTAGGGGGGTTAAGAGTGCTATATTTTGTTTGATACATTCACAAAATTATGCAAATTAACATAATCGAATAATTTACACAAACAACCAACCATTTATGCCAGCAAAGAATTTCGGAAAGGATTAGGTCCTCAATATTCACACCTTCAAATTAATCTGGAATTATCACTTCCATTGGAGGTAAATCAGGCATTACATACGATTAGGAAGCGCATAACAACATAATAATCGTACATTCATTGCTTTTAAAAAAACAAATATACTATCACCGTTTGTTGAATAGAAATAAGGAGAATGGGCCTTTTCATCCCAAGGTTTGAGGCACATCATCCAAAACATCTCAAAATTTAAGAATATGTCATTTTCATCCCAAACTTTTCAAAATATGTAATATTAGGATATCTGTTAAATTTTTTAGTTAATTAACATTGATTTTTTATTCAGTTTCTTTCCTCCAATATCTTTTAGTAAAAAATATTCCATGCTAGCGCTTGGTAAATTTGGTCCATGCCTAACAAAGAAGTTGCATTCCCCTGCATCAAATTACAACACCAATTTTTACATTGATGCTGCATATTTTTTTTAAAAAAAAAAAAGATATGAAATAAGAACTTACTTACCAATTAGGACACCCCAAAAACCTCATAATTGTTGTCATCCAGATGGTAAATCTTGAAAATTTTTTGTTAAGCATGGGAAGAACGATGATGTGAATACCAAATTAGATTTAATTATTTTCTTATAAGTTAGAAATTAGTGAAACCCGTTAAATTATTAAAAAAGAATTCAGAGAGTGAAAAAGGAATAATGTACCACCGTTAATTAATTAACTAAAAAAATTTAACGAATATTTTAATATAGCATATTTTTAAAAAATTTGGGATGTAAATGGTATGGATTTAAACTTTGGGATATTTTAGATAATGTGGCCCAAACTTTGAGATGAAAATACATATTTTCCCAATAAGAATAATACAATAAAAATATGGCATCTTTTTTTTTTTAATAGGACGATGGGATTTTGGAGTTTATTTAGGTCGTCCATTTGATACACTCGTCTTCGATCCATTTCCTACAGAACGAATTGGAGAAAATGTAATCCTAGGCGACTCACATGAAGACTTCGTTCAAGACACACAGTTAAAAAATATAATTCGATTTAATGGAGCTTCTTGATTTGAACAAATCAGACCAATGGTTCTTTTCAAGCTGATCCTTGTTCATTTTGTGCGCGTGTTGTTTTTAACTTCTTTTTCGACTTTCCAAGAAATTTTTAACATATTATTACAAAGATTTTTCTTTTCTTATCTCTCCAATTTAGAATCACACTTTATAAACATACTTAAAATAGCCTAGATTTTCCTTGTAAAAGACTAAAAATAAATGATCAATTAATTTTGCTTTTTTCTTTTCTTAATTAAAAAAAGTGTCAAGTCTTTATCTTTTTTTTTTTTTGGGTATAATGTAGGAGGCTGAAAGGCCTAAATTACTAAGCTACCACACATGAGTGTAAGCAAAATAATAAAAATAACAATATTAATCTAAAAAGACAAATTCCTAACAATTTGAGATACTATAACTTGCAACAAAGAGATCTCGTCATAGTCCAATCTCGACTTGGTCGAGTTGGTCGTCAAGTCTCTATTTAATTTTATTGTTGAGCTAGAAGGTGATCAGTATCATGCATATAAATCGAGAATCCTTGCATGAACCGTGAACGCCAAAGGAATACCTTTTTGGGTTTTATATTTTCCTTCATGACATAAATTATTTGTTGAATTTTGATCATGCGTACATATCATGGTATGTTTGTAATAGTGTCTGTCAGTCTATGTAGAGACAAATAATTGCGGGCGATCAAGAGTAAGGAAAAGATGACCATCGAATCAAGTGGTATACTCTAATTATTTTGGCCTTCAACGCTTAACCGTGAAATCTTTTAGTCGATCATTTGCCCGGTAATAAGTACATTCATAAAATTATGAAAATTTAAATCGGATAATGTTTTTGGGATAAAGGAAATAAGAATAATTGTCATAAACAACAATCATTTGTGTCAGGGAAAGAAGTGAGGAAAAAAAGATAAGGTCAATTTTGGATTTTACTTTTAGTAAAAATCGTACAACAAATTACAGTGCTAGTGAATTCACAAATTTCAACATTATTCATGATTTTTTATTTTTCGTTTGGAGGAGGCTAACGCTTAAATTAGCACATTTTAGCCGGTCTCTTCTTCATAAATTAACATTTTGTATCAGAACTGATAGTAATGTTAGAACGGTAACACCGTTTAATTGGCTGATCATTTGAGTGTTGCCTTTGGCCGAAGCCAAACTCAGTAGATGGGACAGGCCTATGGGAGGGGAGCGTATACCGATTCACATAGATCCCGTGAAGATTAAAGAAGGACCAACGGTCAACGATGTGATTAATGCAATCAATGATTCTCTTAGAGAAACTTATTGTTTAACTAGGAATTTTGAAGTTATAAATATCTATGGTAGGGGAATAGCAAATGGAAGGGTTGAGGACTTAGACCAAACTGTAGATGTGAATGGGGATGGTTTGGATTGGGGGGGGGGGTGGCTTGATTTACGAAGAAGGTGGTCGCACTAGTTGGAATGTGAGTTGCTCATGTGGATAAATTGACAATGATGGGGAAGAAATGGTGGAATACTCTGAGTGTCATTTTTGGATGCATGTCAACTGTGCTAAAAAGCAAGGAATGGAAGTTGATGGTGAGAACGACTTTACTTGCGGATTTTGTCGTTAAATGGTTCAAGTTGGCAGTGAGGATGACAGTATATGTGGTTTTTATTTTTGATAGAGTGCTGGTGGTATGTTCAAGGTTGTAGTGAGTAGGATTTTATTTGTGCTTTTTTTCCCTGAATAGTTAAATGAGTACTCTGTCGTATGGTTCTCAAAACATATATGTGGTTGAAGGATTTTAAACTCTTATATCTATATTTTGATGTCGTATCTATTGGTTATTTGGTTTCTTTCTTTACATTTATTTGGTTTATTTTAATTTCACATGTTATTTTTTTCCATTGAAAAGTTACTATAAATAATAATTTACATTCACAAATCACTAATTTATTAGTGATGTCGTATCTATTGGTTATTTGGTTTCTTTCTTTACATTTATTTGGTTTATTTTAATTTCACATGTTATTTTTTTCCATTGAAAAGTTACTATAAATAATAATTTACATTCACAAATCACTAATTTATTAGTTTGATTAACTAAATTCAATCGTGAAGGACATGTATAAAAGGTAGATATATTTATTTGTTTTCCTCGTGCCAATACCTCAATTACCCCCAATTACCATCATTCACAATTTAATTAAACTTTTCATATTATTTCCTTAAATAACGACTACTAACAACCACATATATTCCCAATCACATGATCAAATTAACGTTGGAGATAATGAGAATATAAAAAATTTGTTGGTTTTTCAAATTACTCGTATACATTAATTCCTAATTAAGTAATAAGATTTGATTCATAGTTTCATGATAGCATTGCATTTTTTTAATGACTTCTATTCCGAGTAAAAAAAAAGAAAAATCTTAATTATAGATTTAGATCAGATTATCAAACGAGGGGAAAAAAATTAAATTAGTTTTAACTAAATATGAAAACCTTCCATAATTCTTTCGGCCATTCTCTTCTGTATATAAAGGTAACGTATTGTCTCAAATCCTTCCCATTAGAAAACCATTCGATGTGAATAGTATGGTGGCAGCCACAGTCAATGAGGTCGGTGTGACATAATTTTGTTATTCAAAATGATGAATATTTAAGCACAATATACAATATATATGTATACTAGTGATGTTTGGTCGCGCAATGCGCGATCCTCGCCCAGTCTATACTTAATTTTGGAGATTTTTAATAGTTTTGTAATAAGTTTCATCCGAAAGGCATACGCTTAAAATAAAATTGACACTTTGTAACAAAAACCTAATTGATCAATTCAATTTAGACTCCATAATTAAGAAAAGAAAATCACTCTAATTGAATAAAACATAAAGAAAAAATTAAAAAAAAAACATGCCAAAGTGCAAAGGGGGATTTAGTAATTTAGTTATGGTTTGACAAAAGGGTAATTTAGTACTTTCCTCATGCCACGTGGCAATCATAGGAGGTGTTTGAAAAGGGATTTTTATTTCTAATATAGTAAGATATATAGTTTCAAATATCCGTTGCCTAGTTTCTGATTGTTTTCGTTCCTTTTATCACGCAGGGAAGGAGATCGATTAGATGAGGAAATTAGCTTATGACATCATCGATCATACTCCCTCCATTCCAAAATAAGTGTCGTCCTATAATTTGCACATAGTTTAAGAAACTCTTAAATAGAATAATAAAATTACTTGAATATCCTCAACCAACCCCATTATGAAATTGTACGCCAATAGTATCAACTCTTTTGAGGGTAATTTTGAAAACTTTTGACAAAAAGTGCATTGAAATGTGAGAACGACACTTATTTTAGAATCCATTTTGCTAAAACGACATTTATTTTGGAATGGAGGGAGTACTATTTACTATAGTTCATTTTATTAAACTAAAGATCCAGATTAAGAAGAGATAACCATTAATCCTTGAAATCTTCCTTCGGATTTATATTTTGGGGGAAAAAATCATCTTAATTCCATATTAACACGAGATCCAAATTTGTACGCTGTGAAGCCTTAATAATAATTGTTTCATGCCTTCATGGTATGAGGTATCCACAAATTTGGACCGACGATATGAAACTTTAAACAGCCCACTTTGAAGAGCTTGGCCCATGTCTCAACCCACCTGTAGTACTCATGAGAGGATGAAATCATTTTGGATGGTACAAATTTCTTTATCATGCACAATTTAAATGCCACAAAAATTCATTAAATTGACACACTATAGACTATACACACTCAAATGATCACCATCGACAAATGGAACAACACCACAATAACTACTACTCCCTTCGTCCCATAATTATTGTCAAGTTTGGTTTTTCATTTCTAGTTCAAATTGTACTAAAGTGAAATCTCAAACTGAACAATAATTTTGGGACAGAGAGAGTTGTTTTGCTTTCCAAGTGAGGCATAACCAGCTCGAATCCGTATTAGTAGGCGCAGATGTACCAAACACAATGGAAGGATACCATAAAGCAAAGGTTAGAAAAATATACTAATACACAGACATGATCATCAGGCCTTTGGGAAAACCTGCAGCCATGGACCAACTATGTGAAGACAGAAGCCCTCCTATGCTGAAAATCATGGAATCATTCAATGCCCACAAAGCTAAACTTAGCTACAAGTTTTATCCTCACAAATTGCAGCATACCAATATGTGTCTTTACTGTACAGAGAATCATTGAAAATAGCTAAGTACTCAAGCACTTTGCTGTCAAAAAACAAACTTCTCAAAGCCTAAGAGTAAGATCTGGTGTCAGTTGATCTTCCTCCAATGACGGCGTTGTAGTAGTAGTAGTAGTAGTAGTAGTACTTTTCATCTCTACAAAATCCAGGTTCAAATCTCCAGTTAGTACGAAACTTTGATGAGATTTTGTTGGATCAGCTACCTGTCTGAAGCTACCAGGCCATAACAGCTCGGGATTATCCTCCATGTATATTGGCTGAGCCACGAATCCAGGGTCGAATCGCGGGCTTGGTCGAAATTCAGGGGGCCTTCCAGCTCCAGCTGTTGTAAAGCTTTGATGCACTGAAGAATGTGCTTTAATTGCTAGTGACCTGAATGAGGATCCATGCAACGGCAGAGACGATAAGCTGGCGTATCTGTCTGAGAAAATACCCATTCTCAACGCCCTTTTCGCCAGAGTTCTTTCCCTTTTATGTGCATTTTGGTGACCCCCAAGAGCTTGTGAGCTGTAAAATTTTCTTTGACAAAAATTACAAGGAAAAACTCGCGGTGTGGCGGTGATAGCAGCTTTTGTTTGGTTTGCTAACTCATTGCTGCTTATTTGACTGGTGCTGGATAATGAGAATTCGTTCAAATCCTGGTTTGGGAATTGATCAGTTTGAGATCTGAAGCTGAGTGATAAGTCAAGCGGAAATGATTGCGCAGGTTTGACATCTGCAGTCTTTGGAGGATTAAGAAATGGTTCTTGGACGGATATGTTGGAAGCAACTTGGCTGCTAATATCAGAACTGTCATCAGAAGAGGCCTCCTTCTCTAGATCAAATTTGAAGATCTCCATGATTTAAGATGATCTGAGATCCAAGTGGATGAATCTATGCTATGAATCCCGAGATTCCGAATTGCGCGAAACAGTTGTCAAGATTGCCACAAAACCCGAGGTGATCTCATGTTCTGCAATGAGAGACAAACTTATCAGAAGTGTGGAGATGTGAAAATACAACCTTTTAACTCCAGGAATGAGTTTAACCAGAAAAGCAGTGGAACCATATGCAATAGTAGTTCAGAATTATATTCGAAGATTCAGTACACTGGAGATCTAATCCAACCAAAAAAGCTGCAGTTCAAAGATTTTCTGCTTATGATTAGGACACACAATTTACAAAAGCAGGACAAGATCAAGCAACTTGTTTCCCCTGATTGTAATAAACTTGAGTACAATTAAAGCATGTTCTAGTACTTTACCCTGAATTTCGACAAAAAACGTACCAGATCATGCAGAACAACTGACACGAATTTAGTCAATTTTTGTATTGTGATAATTACAGAAAGGAAACTCCACCCAGATACTCAAACCAACTTAATAATACAAACTCTGTACATATCACAGATGAAATGAAACTATAAAGAGCAATTAAAAGGACTATCTCAAAAAGCTGCATTCAAGTTCTCTAAGAATGGCAGGATTATGAAACTGAAGATTACAGCTTGGATTTTACTACTTCCCTGATGCAATTTTCAGCAAAGTCCCAACACTCTATGAACAAGTGGAATAAGTTCTAGAAGATTGGGAAAAAGCAGAAGCATCTAATAACCATCATAGTTACAAAAACCAGATTGTACAAGATATGATCTTTCTTATGAAGTAGAGTACAACTGAAAAGCATCATATCTATGATAAGCTTTAGAGATGACAACTGCAAATTCAGTCTAAAAGGAAGCATATAACTGCAGTAGTACCTCTCAAACAAAATAAAAAATAAAAAAAATCCACGAGATGTTCTTCAAACTTCAAACCAGACACCAATTAAATAGAGAGATTCTTTGATAGAAGAAAGCATAAAGATGTACTACTGAACATATAACAGAATTGTGGAGACTGGAGAGAACCCATGTAGAAATAGAACTAACCAGTTGCAAGTAGTAGAATGATGTTGATATCTGACGGATTGATGCAGTTTTATTCAGTTTCAGTACATCATCATCATTTAAGGACAAAACAAATGAATGAAGGGTATGGTCGCCTCTCTTAGTTTTTGCAATATTTAGTACAAGCAAGTAGTAAGCAAAAAAAAAAAAAACAAAAGGCCCCCACTTTGAAGAAAACGAGTTGAAAAGAAAGAAATGAATGGTTGGAGAGAGGGAGAGAGAGGAGGAAGTGTGACGGTTTTCGATGTTTTATTATGAGAGAGCAAAGGGAAAGAACTCAAGAAGAGGGAGTGGAGGGGACAGTGGTGGGACGTCAGAGAAAGTCAGGAACAGCAAAAAAAAAAAGATAACAATTTTTCATTTTTTGAGGGGATAAAATTGAAAGATTGCTAAATAAGAAAATGAAAAGAATCAAAGGTGATGACATAATGCACTCAAGCAGCCACCACCAGGAACAACAAACCAGGGCAATCAATCATCATCATCTCCCCTGTTTGTTAGAATTTGGTCATTTTCCTAGAACACAAAAGCAGGTGCTCACCTATGACATAAACCACAATAGGGATGGAAGGGAAGAAGCTCCTCATGTGGTAAAAATAAAAAATAAAAAAAAGTACAGCAAAAAACAGAACACAGTTCATATATAAACTCACTAGTCAATTCATCATCATCATCATCATCAGTCTTCCTTCCTATAAAGATTCTACTGTCTCTCTTGTGTGTTGTTTGTGTGTGAGTGTGTGCCCACTTTAAAAAGTGTTTTGTTTTGCAGATAACCACTGAGCGCATGGGATTGGCTATGCTTTCATCATTCCAGATTTTTTTTTTTCTTAAATCTCCATCTTCCCCCCTCTCTTCACTTTTCTGCATGCCCATCATCATATAAAACTTGTAATTCAGTTTCTTCATCCATCCATCCATCCATGATCCAATTCCATCCATTCAGATCAAGCCATGCAAAACCTTACCAAAAAAAAAAAAAAAACAGCCCACATACTTACACATGGAACATGTCCCATAAGAACCATTTTTCTATAATTAGACATTTCTTACTTGACACTTGTATTTTTTTTCCCCATTTCATACAACATCAAACCTACAAAACTGCAAATATCATGTGTCTGGATTGGACCAGATTATGAAATTATGATGCCCATCGAATTCAAAAGAAACAATGACATTTCCTTAAAATTTACAGTCACTTGAGGAATATCATCATCACCATTCCAAGAATGTATAGTGGAAATCAGCCAAACAAAGTAAAGAAGTATGATGACATATAGGAAGATAATTGCTGACTTGTTCTGTGTGGCTTTCAATTTTGGTATCAAATTTTTTGTTTTTTTTATATAAATATATTTCACCATGGGAATAGTAACAGTAATAGTGAAAAATTACAGGAAATTAAGAAATGAAATGTGGGATGTGTAACACAGGCGGGATGAAAGTAGCTTTTGCACATGGAAAAGGAAACAGCGGGGGACAGAAAGCGACTATGGACTTTGTTTCACTTCTTCTGTTCTTGTTTTTGTACACTGCGTGTGTGTGTGTGTGTGAGAGAGAGAGAGAGAGCGCACCTGCCGCTTGACATTCCCCAAAGGCCGAGAATTTCTTAACCTTATGTCACGTGACATTTGGTACGATGTTTCACTGTTTACCTTTTTTCTATTTCATTTCTTCTTAATCCCCTCTAATCTTTCTACACATATTATTATTATTAAAAAAATATATTTCCGTTTAAGGAAATATTTTTTACATTGCAAACAATTGACACAAAAGTTTATCCCCCAGAGATTTGGTGGAGCAAATTACATATTCCACCGTTCCAAAATTATTGTCCATATTGAAATTTTACTTTAGTATAATTTGAACTAAAAATAAAAATTAAAAAATTTTGGGAGGGAAGGAATATAACATTTTACCTCAGAATGTATGTGTTTGGCTCATCTTAAAAACAAAAGGGACACAATTTGTGAGTATGAATAAGATTAATTTATTTCAAGGATAATCTGACTGATGTTACATTGGGATATTCTTTTATTCACAATTTCACATTGGATTGAATTCGATTTTACTAAATGGGCAAAAGAATATTGATGATGCTAATGACAAAACAAATAATTGGAACTGTACAGTGATGAAATAATATTCCTTTGCTTAAGATTTAAACACCTAATCTCTTACAGCTAAAAACAAAGATGGAAAGATAAATATTCCTTTCATATGAATTAAACTATTAAGCTCATTAGTAGTTGGAACCAATCAAAGTGACTTTTATAATTATGAAACTATTTTCTTCTAATATCTTTTTGTGATTCAGAATAATTTACTGACAACCCCTCAAAGATTAGATTTGTGAAAGATTTACATCCAATAATAATTCTTCTAATAATAAAGTTCTCAAAAGCAATCAAAAATATTTTCTTTTTTCCAATTAGGATGTACTGAATTCTCTCTGACATGCACACATCCTTGTTAAGGTTGAAGGGAAATTTCTATCAACTTTTGTTTCCCAAATGCATCACACCACACGCACGTGATCTCACAACACACAGCATAACACCACAAAAATCAAGATTAAGTGGAAAAAAATAATACTACTTAATCTAATCAAAACTTTAACAAAATTTACACTTAGGAACCTTTTAAAAGTTGGTGTCCGCTTGCCTGCCCGATGCCCGCTTTTGGCTGGTTGTCTATCCAAAAGCCTCGGGTAGCCATGAAAGCCGTACTACACAAACTCTTTTAGCCTACTAGCTTAGCTACCCCCTACTAATCATAGGCCCCCCACGCTGCCCACTCAACAACACTTAATCTAGTTTAATTAAAACTCTTCTTTAATTGTCACTAATTAACTTTGGATTGTATAAATGTTCTGTGATCTAAAGAATCATGAAGATAAGATTTTGCAATGTTGACACTCTCCAATGCATCATTATTGATTTAGTGCTAAGTAGTCATTGGTTACAAACAACATATTCTTCCCATCATGCTACATTTTTTTTTTCTAAAGATAGTGCTTGGATTGAAGTTTTGGTTTAACATATTTTGATGCCTTTTTAAGTTTGTTTGGTTGCTTTATATACAGTCCCTCCTCCTCCTCTTTTGTGTGATCTGTTATACTATTTTAGTTCAACAAACATGACTTTTTTTTTTGGACGAAGAGAAGAGTGATATTTTTTATTAATTAACTTTAAACAAGTGGCACATTTGAGGCTAACTTTGGTGATTGGTCCTAACCTACTTTAAGATTCCTAGTGTTGTTATACGAAGACTAGTCGTAAATTGAATCTTTTTAGTGAAAGATAATTAGTACATCTAACCTACATTTGATTTGTTCTTTTAAATTGTGCCTTTTATTTTTTAAAAGTGGAGGGAAGGCTATATCTATCAGATATTGTATTCCTGAAATTCGATCGTAGAGCTATATAGGTATATGCTTAGAATTGGTCGCTATTTGTTTTGGTATTAGATTCTCCAATGTGTGGGGAAGAATGCTGCAATCTCGCTGCATCCGTGGAGGATATGAAAGGATAAATTTTATAGGCCTTAGTTTCTGCGTCTCTTGAGGTTGAAGTTGTCATCAATGACCAAAAGTTAGATTGCTTTTTTTTTTTTAAAAAAAAAAATTTATTTTAAGGAGCATTTTCTTTTTTTCAATCTTTTTCGTTTTTTTTTTTTTTTTACATAAGAAGAGAAAAGGCATAAGGGAAAATACATCATAATCTAGCGGATTCGAATTTGCAACCTCTAAAATGATGAAAAGAACTAGCAAAAGCTGAAAACTTAAATTAGAAGACTATTGACTATTGTGAATGATGAATTCCTAAATATGGCTTAACTCTTAACGGCGACAAACATTGTTTTGTGTACGGATTGGATTGCAAAAACTAAACAACCTTTGATAGCATAATTCATGGCTCATGAAGTCGAGAGATAATGATAGCTGCATCATCAGTTTCATCACAATTTTCATTAATGTTGGAGGAAGATTCTTTGATTTGGGTTTGACCTTTATTGAAGGTCTAAAAAGGAAAGGCAAAAAATTGTGGCCTGGGATTGGGGTTTAGATGGGCCTTAAGCCTGTTGATTTTGACCCATCAGATACTAGGCCCCACCATGAAGCATTTCTTCTGTTGGAAGCCCATGGTTCCAGGCATCAATTTATTTGCCTTTTTATTTTTTTTCACGCTGTTCTTCGGGTTAAACTAGTTAAATACTGTGTTTACAATTAATACTGTGTTTATAAGGCAAATAAACACTGTGTTTATAATTAATTTTCAACAAAAAATTAATGGTAGCATCATGAAAAAAATAAAATTGTATTATATATAAAATAATAATCATAAATAATGGAATACACATCAAATTTAGGTCAAATACATATTAAGCAATATATTAGCTCATGGGAAATGGCCGAATCACACAAATATCACATAAAATTTAATAAGAGGTACTATGGAACACGTACGTGCAATAATGGTGAATTCAAAATTTTGACACAATCAAATGGCACCGACACCATAAATAGATTCTCTCAACAACTTGAGGTTTGAAGAAGTGAACATCAGCTTGTCATCTAGCTTATCATTATTTGTATTCTGTTGGTTTCTCATCTTGTCTTGCAAAGCATTAGTAGCAGGATTTGGCTTTTAAAATATGCACTCCTTCTGTCTGAGGTTACGTCTTCTAATTTTATATATTTTTTAATAACAAATAGAATGATTATTTTCAAGGAAATTATTTTTCATTGAGTTTGGAAAGTCGACAACAAAAAAAATATGATGCGAATGTTTCCTAGCAAAATTTGGCTTTCATTGACTTTATCATCGTCTTAGGAAAGTCGATATACAATGCGAATGTTTAAATCGAGTTAAAAGAGTCAATAAAAATGTCGATGCAACAAATTTTAGAGAAATTTTTTTCTGCCGACTTTTTCGTCTCGTTATGAACGTCGACAAAAAAACTCGACGCGAATGGTTTTCAACCAAATTATGTATGATTCGGTCTTTATCTTTTTTGAATAAGAAAATTTGGCTACAAGGTAAACCCAAATGTTTAATATAGAATTTTGCTTTGTGAACTTTACCATCAGGTTTGTTAACTGGGCCGAAAGCCGAAATATTTACATGTTTTCAATGTGTTTATTAAGGGATAAATAACAAATTGACACGTGAGTTTATTATTCAATTTGGCATTAGATGAGATACTATAAATCTGCATCACATGGATTTACCTAATCAAGTGGGTGTGAAAGTTCGAAAAATAATTTTTTATTATATTGGTATTATTATGTGTAGTCTGCCTAAAAATAAGTCAAAGAATGAGTCAAAATGAATGTGCATGATGATTTTGCTTGTGTCCAACCACTTATTGGGTTAGTGAAATCAGCCTAAATTTTAAGATACTTCTCTTCCATTTGACTTTACCATAGGCTACGAAATATGATCATAAAATCTATGTACAAGAGATTTTTTTTTTCCGACTTTGTCATTAGATTACGAAAGTTGAATGCGAATATTCTTCAAGAGGATTTTGTTCTTGTTAACTTCATCATTTATTAAAAAGTCGACGCGAATATTTTCAAGTGAATTTTGCTGAATTTTTCATCGAGTAATATCTATTCTTTCTTTATGGAATTAGTAGTATGTTAGAATTACCATTGTAGTACCGGATGTTTTGGGTATTAATTTGATGAAGACTAGTTGGATGAAATTGTTACTGTACTGTATGGAGCACACTTGTTAATTTCATTGGTATATGTAATTAAGATTCATTAAAGATTAATAACCAACCAACGTGTTGGGTCAAAACTCAAAAGGGTCAACGGCGACTGGAGTAAGATACATTTACATGGAGGCCTACTATCACTATCGTAAGGATAAAATGGATTCATAGGCCTTCCAGTTCAATTGAAGTAAGTGGTCTCAAGGCTTAATGAGGCCTCAAGCCACATTCAAAATCGGGGCCTTTAATAATCGAATTTACATAAATATTTTTGACAATCAAATTTATCCATAAAACAAATTTGAGTCCTACCTACTAAACAAAATATACTAATATTATATTATTTTTATTAAGGCATTGCCACTAAATATTCAAAATTGAAATGATACTTTAAAATTATATTACTGAGAGTGTAGATTCACATAACTATCAATGAAAATATATTTGGAAGTTTATGAATATTTTAACATAAAATTAGTTAGAGAAATATAGTTTGAGACACTTTTGTAACCATTATTTATGATCAGAAGAGAATGTTTATGATATATATTATCATGCTTAAAAAATAAATTAATAATTGATATTTTCAGGAAAAAAAACAAGCAATATGTAAAAACAAAATAAAAAAAATGGGACCTTAATAATTTGAGGCCTAAAGCTAGGGCTTTAGGAGCTTCCCCCTAAAGCGAGCCCTGATTGAAGTTGAAGTTGGCC